CCTGTGGTCCCAGCTACTTGGGAGGCAGAGGCAGGAGACTCGCTTGAGCCCAGGAGTTGGAGGTTGCTCTGAGCTGTGATGCCATGGCACTCTACCCAGGGGGACAGCTTGAGGCTCTGTCACACACACACACAAAAAGAAGAAGAGCATAAAAGAGGGACGAGTCATAAATGGCCTCCAAAAGTTAGTTTTAGGATGTGGGAATAAGAATGTTGAAAAATTTTTTTTAAAGTTTATCCAAACATTAGTGAAATACGGGAAGTCCAGCAGAGTCACTGGTTGCTTGGGGGAGAATAGTTTAATTTAGATAATGACACAGAAAGCAGTTGCGAATATCTAGCACTAAATAATAAAGATGTTATTTTTTTCTCATCACCAAAGTTGATTTTCTTCGTATCTTTTTAATATAGGTGAACGTGAAAGATGTCACAGAGATCAGAGAAAAGACAGCATTCGAGCATCCAAGGTAGGAATTGCCATCAGCCCTATCTGAACAAAAACTAATAAACAAAATAGGGTAAACATTAAGGAACTAGAATAAAACAATTATTTGTATAATTTTAGTGAATTAAGCTAAAGAGAAGTTTGTTTCAAGTTGTATTATGTCTTGAGTTAACTCTAGGGAATTTGAACTTTATTTTGTAAGTATTAGAGACTAATGTCATGTGAAATGGGTTTTTCCAGTGATGCAGTGATTTAAAGGGTAAGGAGAACCCGACTATAATTAGAAAAAATAAGAAGTTTGTGAAGGCTTAGAAAAGGGAGATTGTTTCACAGAATAAGGAATGGAAATTCATATTTGATGGACATTATTTAAAGAAATGATGGGCCTCGGCAACTAGTTTACTATAAAAGAGCATAAAAGAATAGGACAAGTGATTACATGACTTTCCTTTTTTTGTAGAGACAGAGTTTCACTTATAGCCCTCAGTAGAGCGCTGTGACATCACAGCTCACAGCAACTTCCAACTCCTAGGCTTAGGTGATTCTCTTGCCTCAGCCTCCCAAGGTAGCTGGGACTACAGGCGCCCACCACAACGCCTGGCTATTTTTTTGTTGCAGTTTGACCGGGGCCGGGTTTGAACCTACCCCCCCTTGATATATGGGGCTGGCGCCCTACTCACTGAGCCACAGATGCCACCCTACATGACTTATTTTTAAACCTATGGATTTCACAGACCCACAAACTTCAGAATGTATTAAAAGGATATGAATTGCCAACTTACATTACCATGTGGAAACATTAACATAATGTATGTTTCATAGACACATACTAACCTTTTGACTGCAGCCAATGCCTATAGATCGAACAAGATGTTCCTTTAGTGCAAGTGACTCCTATAGGCATGTTTTGTTTCTGAGAACTCAGTCAAGGGTTAAATGTACTACTGTTTCACAAAAGGGCATTTTATTTTATTTTATTTATTTTATTTTTTTTTTTTTTGAGACAGAGCCTCAAGCTGTCCCCCTGGGTAGAGTG